GGCGGAGGTTGTGCGGAATAAACCACATAAGTTGACAGGGTTCCTTTTTATTTTTTCGAAAGGCGCCGAAAAATCATGCTGCCCTCGACCAAGCGGAATTTGGTGCTAGGAGTCTTCCTAGTGATTGTCACCCTCGTAGTACTGTACTCATACTGTAATGGCAGCTCTGTTTGCTACACGTTTCCTTTCTTCAGTGGACTGGAACGGGACAGGCTAATTAAACCGGAAGTAGTGGTAACTTCCGTTATTGTACAGACCAAGAGGCCATTTGATCTAGGAAGATTTTCTGAAAAGTCAAAAGGTATGAAGTTGTTTATGTGTAGAAAGCACCCTGTGGTCACAGCAACCTTTCTTCTACCCTTTGGATCTTAATCCACAGTAAAATGGGTGATAATACGTGAAATTTGTTTTGCAACTGCTGTAAAACGAATTGAGAACTGTGATCTTGCTCTTTTTACCACCAGACCCTCGTTCAAACCTATCTTGCAACAATTCAGGTGGTTGAAGTTGCTGGAATACTAACTTCTGATTTGATAAAATTACGCGGTAGTCACTCCATACACGGGATTTACGTCACTTGCTAGGGCCAGTAAAACATGTACAGATTTTGTTGAAAAAAGGAGAACTACTTTCCTACTTCCTGCAACAACTTGATTTGTATCAGGACAGGTGTGATTCGTGTGTGGTAAAACGCACAACATCGCTATTCCACTCGTTTTTCAACAGTTGTAATATTTGCACTTTCTGTCAAACCGATTTACCTTACCTTTAGCTGAGAGGAGGCAATGTTGTAGTAATTTTTATATCTCAGATAAATCTTCACCATTCTATAAATGTGTCCAATTCTAAGATATATTTTATTTCATTCACATATTTATTTTATTTTTATTCATTATTATTGTTGTTATTGCGCTTTTTGTTAAGATGAACTAGATAGAGTTAACCTCACTATCTCCTTTTCACTTGAAAATAAACGGTTATTGAGATTGTTATTGTCGGCTCTATTGAATTGTGGGAGGGGGAGGAGCGTTCGTAGACGCTGTCAAAAGTAAAGCAGTTCAGTCTGTCTTTTAAGATATTCTTGCTAACAGAAGCGCATCACCAAAACTTTCGCAGGTAAACATGGCGAGTCCAAAGTAAAACAAAGTGAGCAGTTCATAGAGGAATTTCATATCAACGACGATAAAAAGACGAAGAACTTGACAGAGGAAGCGGAGAAGCTTCATTTCGATCACAACAAAACCTTTGTTATTCAAGAGGAAAGAAAAAATAACAAAACACAGGAAAAGACAACTTCTGAACGCCAAAAACACCTCCTTCCACCTTCAGACATTGTGGGAAAGGTAGCGGAAGAAATTCTACGGAAGGCAAACGTTTCAGAAGAGGAAGCCAATAGAGAACTTATTCGAGTGGAGAAAGTCGACGAAATTGTTGACAATAAAAGGCATAGACAAGAGAATGCTTTGCTAAGAAAAGTGAAGGAGTCGAGGAGGGCGGGCGGGAATAAAGCGGAGAAAAAACTAGTGCGAGTTGAAAGAGTTGACTTAACTGATGAAGAAGAAGAGGAATATAAATATCAATCAGAAAAAGGAGTTACAGAATCTTATAATACATCTGTTGATAGTGCCGCTACAAGATCGAGAAGAAAAGAATTCATTACAGAACCAAAATACGAGAATTTGGAATTGGCTCATGCAAGAAGATTAGGGATTTTAAATGCAACAAGCAATATTCCAAGTTTGCAGAGTGAGAAAAACAAAACTCGCAATTTTTCAACTAACACCGCAGCAAATAATGAGCCTCTTAGCACGCCTCCGCCATTCTTTGCGAATTTCTTGAATATAAGCGCAAGAGAAAGAGAAATGTTTGTTCTCCTTCATAACTTCACGAAGGAGAGTAAGCCGCTTGAGCCTCTTGATGGACGAGAGAATAAAATTGTTCTTCATGAAAATGGGGCCGAAAAAGAAAACCTCACAGTGATAGGAGACATGAGGACATCATCTGCGCATGTGCAGAACGTTGATGTTCGCGAGAAAAGGAATCTTGGGGAAGCCAGTCTACTTGATACTCTAGTGGCAAGGCTGCTCAATATTTCAAGTGAAAGGCAAACCATTCCAAGAGAACAAAACACGTCTGAAATACCTGACGAATCATTAAATTTAACTGCAATTCTGGCCAAAATAACTGGTAAAGGTCTTGAGACCAATTACAGAGACACACCGGTTTCAGATAACACTGCGCTCTTGGTCAAATTTCTAAAGGAGGGCAGTCGTTATCGACTACGCATGCCCCATAATGTCACTGCTGGGAAGTTAGACGATGACAGCAGTCAAATTGCTACTAAGCTACAAAGCGATAAAAAAGAGTCGAAAGAGTCTTCTTTTGATCTGAAAAACGTTCTTTTAGATTTAACAAAGAAAATAAACTTGAACTTTCGTAGTAATCTCTCTAAAATGACAAAGGACAAAGACCATAAAGCTGATCTTGAGATGTTAAAACTACTGTTACACCGAAGTGACTCGCAAGATCTTGGCACTTTCAACTTGAGCAAAGTGTTAAAAGAAATAGCGAGCAATTCCCTCAAGAACATCTTAGCTGCTCTGCAACCAATTAAAGTCAAGCGTGACAAAGA